TTTTCTACACTGAGGAAAATAAAACAAGTATTCGCACTGCGTCAAAAATCCGTTCAAAGTCAAGAGTAGAACATAACACGAAATTTGAATATGAAGAACGTTTTTGACTTGCATTAAATTAAGTAATATTTTCCTCCATTAAAGCAGTTGCGTTCTTAGAATAAATGATATATATTTCTTGATTTGTAATCTCGATTATTTGGATTTGATTTTAAGCATTTAAATTAATGCTACAACATGACTCAATCAGCTTGATTAATAAATTTCAACTCTTTAACTAATTGCTAAAAGTTTGTACACTTTTTTTTTTAAGTAGAAAAGAGCTTGTGTTGAATATTTTGTATATTTCATATTTCCCTCAGTGTATTTGTGTGTGCTCAGCATTTATCCACTCAGATTCAGCTGCTAGAAAAACTGTATATAATTCAGAGCGAAGCCAGTTATAGACATTTATTAGACTTGCCTGAGGTCGAGTATTCAATGTCGTAGACTTTAATTAGTAGCGCTCGAAAGGCGGCAGGACGAAAACTGGTGCTTTTAATAATTAAATCGAGTGCTATTATTCGAGGCATGTCCTTCCGGCCTTTAAGTGTACCGCTGTTGTCAAAGTGTCAAAGTTAGACTGCTTTGTGCGAAGGGTTTAAAATAAATTAATTGAAGCCACACTTGTAAAGTAAATTAATATTGCCCGAATGACTGACTGAATGACTGGTTGGCTGAATGAGACTTCTTCTTCTTCCTGTTGCTGTTTGCGTCGTGTCGTTAAAGAGATTACAAAAGGTCAAAGGGTTAGCTGCGATTGCTCATAATTGCCTGGCGCCTGAGGTCAGTCGAAAAATTTGTTCATTCCATTGATGTTTTTTGTTTTAGATTTTTTTTTTGTCTCGCTGCTCCTTGTACACAAACACACACACACACACACACACACACACACACACACCCATGCAAACACACACAAGTTGACATTTGGTTGTCAAACTAATTAAATTTTTGGCTGGCCAGCAGCAACGAGCCAAATTGGCGCTTGAAATTGGTAATTACCAAGGCAGAAGTGCAACTCAAACACGTAAAAGAAATCAACAGAGGGCGCATCCCCGAGAGAGAGGGAGAGAGAGAGAGAGGAAGAGAGGGAGAGAGTGAACCGTCAACGAAATCGTGGTTACTGCTTCTGCTGTTGCAGCACATTGTGCAATTAGCCAACATTCGCACTCGACAATCAACCAAAAAAGCAAACGGCGCCAAGCGACTGACAACGCGTGTGCATGTCCTTTGTGTCCTTCAACTATAGTCTGTGTGTGTGGGTGGGTGGATGGCAGGGGGTAGTTGGTGAATGGTTCCTGCCTAATTACTTGTAAGTTGGCGAATTTGTGGCAAGGCGTTTTGTCCATCCGCAACCAAATTCAATTTGTACCCCACACTGCGGTCAGTTCGGCATGACTGAAGCTCGTTGCATTCGATGGCCACGCCCACAGTAGCTCCAAATACCCACACGTCGGCCGGATGCTGACATCGCGCACATGCACATCCGTATCCGGTTTCCTGTAGCGACAACGATAACGACGCCTTCTTGATTGCCAACGCGTAATTATTTTTTAACCACTCTGCCTCCCAAAAAAATTAGACTTAACTAAGCCAATTTTTTTTTTGTCGTTGTCTTTATGTTGTATTTATTTTTTTTGCTTTTTTGTTTGGGTTTTTTATACCCTGTATGCATATAAAAATGTAAAGAGGGTTGCGCCTAGTTTTGAAAATGTTTATATGTATTAGCAATAGCTGATTTGAAGAAATTTGTATCTTTTTGTGTGTTTCTAAAATATTTGTAGTTGCATATATGTCAGCTTGATTGTTTATTTAAATATTTACTTTTTTTAGAGTGTTCCATTTTAGATTTCATATTTTTATTTGTTTCTCCTAGACTTCATTTGAATAACAAATGCTTAAATTAGGTTTTTGTTGAGATTTGGTTGGTTCCCCTAATAAATATTATTCTGTGATTTGTTTTGATTGTTTATTGATCTTTATTTAATATATTTTTAACTCAAAATCGTTAATTTAAGTCCCAGATTATTTAGTCAAGTTTATAATGAGATTTGGTTGATTACTTTAAATACAGTTATTGAGTGATTTTTTCTGTAATATATTGTTTATTCATAATACTTAATGAAAATCATAAATATTTTAAGATGATGCTTCTTTTTTTTTTTGATAGATCGTTAATCAATATATTCTTAATTCAAATAGAGGGTATCCGTTTTATCAACACTCTCGATTCTTGTCCTTTTTTTGTTTGTTCTCATTTGGTTGGGATGGACTCTGGCGAAATTTGACTAGTACTCAGACAATACTGAGCCGTGGGTCACACACACACACACACACACATACGCTTATATATACCCATATAAGCTCTTGTTGGTATTGTCGGTTCTCTTGGTTTCCACGGCTTTCTCTCAATTTTGTTTTGTTGATTTCTTCTTCTTTTTTTTTGGCTGTTTGGCTGCTTTGTCCAATTAGTAACAGTTTGGGTTACGATTTCATTTCTTTTATTGTACCTCGTTATCCTTTTTATTTTGCGCTGCTTCTGCTTGTACTGCTGCCTCCAGTGCGCAAATTTGATATCCTTGTTATGGCAAATTGTTGTATGTACTCGTACAATTATTTTTGCTGCCACGTTGCCGCTTCGTCGCAGGGGGCATTGCGTGTGCCGTAACCCGCTCGAACCCCCCTCACCGCCTCAACGCCAATGTTTGTTCCTTGCTACAATCTCTCGTTCGCTCCCTGGCTGGCAATCGAATTGTATTTATGTTTATTTATGCTGTTTGGGAAAAACGTCAGTGCACTCGACGCTGTCATGCCTCTTGCGTCCTTGTTCATTGTCCTGGCTTTCAATATTGTCGCCCCTTCGATTATTTATGATGCTCGCTTGCAGCGCGCCGCACTCCCAGCGGGCCTGTGGCCAAGTTTTAGTAGTCATCGTTTGCCCAGTAATAAATTTATGCTTTTTTATTTCCTCCTGTCATAATTTTACCCTCAAATACACACACTCACACAGGCACATACACACACACGCACACACACACAAACACATACCCAATACACATGCAAGCATTTTTATATAAACTGCTTGGGCATTTTTCTTCGCATCGTACTGTATTTTCTTGGTTGGCTCCCCCAGCACCGAGTGCTGTCTAAAAATATTTTCAATTGATAAATTATTTTATGGCAAATACACAAATTTTCTCATACGCGTGTCTTCCATACGAGTGTGTGTGTGTATATATATACACATATATGTGTGTGTGTGCATGCGTGTGTGGTTCGTTTCTTGTTGTTGTGGTTTGGTTTTCGATTTTCCTTCTTAGAATTGGCTCCCTATTTTGGGCGCTCTTAGCTCTTTGCTGCTTATTTCCTTGCGCATAAAAAACTCGGTATGGGCGTTAGACGAGTATGTACATAAGTAATATCCTTGTATGTTCTTGCATACTTCCGACTATATCCTTCAGGCCTTTCTTGTCATTGGCACGGACTTTGGCTGCTCAGGATTCAGGAGTCCTCAGCTGTTCAGCTGCTAACACTCAACTCTGCTGCACAGCTCAAACACATAAAATCAATCATATTTGCTGGGTATTTTCCTTTTCCTTTTATTTTTCCCTTCTCCTTTATCTGCTTGCTTTTTTTTGTGCTTTTCTGTTTTTTTTTCTTTATTCGCCCCTTAGCTTGTCTTTATCTTTTACTGTTTACTTGCGTCCCAATTTGTTGCTTCGTTTGTCTTTTTTTCTTTGTTATGGTTTAGTTTTTGTTTTTTATTCGTTTGTGAACGTTACTGTGGAAGGCATAGTCAACAATATGCTTGTTGACTGTATAGGGTATCTGGCAGTCGGTCTAGTCGCTCATTTTGTGTAGCCCCTATAACAAATGCGAATCAATTTGTATAGCATTTAAGTTACTTTCCCATGCGTAGCCTTTAAAAATATGCTACATTAATTTTAATAGAATTGTTTATGGACAGGGGGCGTGGTTGGGAGGCGTGTGTGTGTGTGTGTGTATGTGTATTTCCATGCACCTAGTAAATGATGCGCAGTTAGTTATTCTTTTTTACTATTTTGTGTGTCATGCATGCAGAACTGCCATGTCATATTGAATAAAGAGTCTGGGCAAATGAACAAAAAAATACAACAAAAATTCAGAGCAAATATCAAAGGGACATAAAAAAGCAGCGAAAAGCCGCGCCAAATCAAAGCCAACAATATTTTTCAGGATTATTTCAGTTGGCTTGCCGTTGACTGCACAAATACACAGACAAAAAAAAACATATACAGGAAGTCAGAGAGAGAGAGAGAGCGAGAGTGGACGTGAGTGAGAGAGAGAGAGAGAGGTAGGATTTTGCCATGCTTTGGTGACATACAACAACAAATTTGTGCTACCAAAATTTCTGTTAATTTGGCAGCGTGTTCTGTGCTTTTTTCAGGCTTGTGACATCGCAACGCTTAGATATTTTTACGCCTTACTTGAGTTTTATTCGGGCCACAAATTTTGCCAAAGAAAAAAAAACCAAAACCAAAACAAAAAAGGCAAACATCATACTAAAAAGATAGAAAGAAAAACAGAAAACAATATATAGACTGCAGCGCCCCTGTGTTTATGGGCGTCCCCCTCACGCCCCATTTGTGGCACTCTGTGTGCAGATATGCAAAACGCAGCGAGCACATAAATTTTAGTGTTTGGTCTACGCTTATTTGCATAGGAATTATGTATTTGGGCACAACGGCTTAGCAGCATTACGCAGCACACAAATATACAAATACACACATATATATATAGAGGAAAAACACACGGCAAAAGGACATTGTGGTTATGCAGAAAACTAACACATATATACATAAATTGTTTTTGCTTCTATTTTGCAGCTATAAATTTGCAAACGCCCCGGGAAAATGCATTGCAGCAGAACAAGCAATTAAAACACAGAGAAACTGAGCCCGATACACACACAGAGAGAGAGAGAGAGAGAGAGAGGGATAGAGGGAAAGTTCTGTGGTACGAGTCCTGTGCCCTCGGACTCGTTGTGCTAAAAACCTATTTTGAATAATTAAAATTCCGTAAGTGTTGCTGCTGATGCTTGCTGCTTGCTGCAGTTGCACTTGAGGAAACGGCACCAACTTTTGCCAGAATCTGCGGCTTCGTGCAGCAACAATGATATAATTAATTCAATGCACCCGAATACGACAGCTTACACACGAAAGTCTTTCAAATCCAATTGAGTGCAACAGCCACAAGAACAAACCACAACAACAACGACAAAACAACAACAACAGCAGCAGAGAAACAACAACTCGAACCACTGAGCAACTTTAGCCAGCTACAAAATGGCGTCACACAGCCCAATGACGACAATTAGCCCCAGCAAGGACAAACGAAGACATATCCGCAATAGCAGGACATATCTGCCCCAAATGCTGCGCCGCACACTCCCCCTTGTCACCATTGTTGCCATGCTGCTGTCACAGCACTGGGAAAGCGGTAAGTTCAACTCTTTCACATACTACAATTGCTCGTACATTTTGGGGGGATTACCTTAGAGATTTATTCTAAATAAATCTGAGGCACATCCGAATGCAATGATCAGATTCTTTTATATACATATATATATAAATATATTTGTTAGAGTTTAATATAACTAACTTTATACGATTAATCGTTCAACTGTACTCATCTGGTATTATCTGGTCTTAGGTTATAAGCATTCGCTGTTCAACAATTTTCCGCCTGTTTTTTCAACAATAAATTTACGACTGCAATATTTTTTAAGGCAAAGCTTTAAAAAAATGGGTTCAAAGCCAATAAAACGAGAGCTGACCTTTCGCCCACAACGTACTTTGACCTTAATTTTGCCGGAAGGGCTAATGTTAAATAAAATCGTAAAAAAAAACGTATTCAATCAATTTTAACACAGATTATTTAAATAGACTAAGAAGCTAAAAGGATGACATACATTAAAATGTTATACACGTGTTTTCCACAATTCTGAATTAAATTTTTGCCATTTATTTTTATAATTTTGATTTGTGTAAATAGAATTGCAAAATGTTTTCTTTTGAGTGCTGGAATTTTTGCTGCTGTTTGTTTCGTTTATCTTGTTGCAACTGCAGAGCATTAAATAAACATCTTTGACAGGTCAATCTGGCAAAATTGAAAAGAGATGAGCAACCGCTAAGCTATTTAATTGACAATGCTGCAGATTGTGCTAGGCACTGAGCATATCCTTGACAATATGCTTGTTGAATTAATCTCATTCGGGCAGATAAATATTTCAAAAGCGAAACTTCAGCAATTAATTTCGCTAATTGCTTTTCTTTGCAACGTTTTTGTTTCAACATGCCAACCATCTGGTTGGTGACGGGGGGTGGTGTTGGGGGTTAAATATTGCTTGGGCAACTGGTTGTCGAGCTTTGCGTTCGAATGCATTTCAAGGACTGAACTTTGGCGCCGCACAAAACTCAATCTGACATTTATGCGAATGTCCACGGTATCAAATAAGAGCAATGACATTGCGAAAAGGAAACTGCAGCCCCCAAAAGACCAACCCCAACGAAACGAAATAACGAGAATCGAGGAACCGAACCAAAAGATTGTCTTGGGAGCTGTTTGCCTGGGTTCACAGACAGTGCAATGTCCTTTTGGCTACTCAAACATTCCAGTGGCTATTAGTATTCATATCTTGACTGAACTAAACGGAAAGCTTAAGCTGCTTGCTGCTTGCTGCCTGGATCAAAAGGGAGAGGGTCGCTTTTGCGTTTTGCATGCATTCTCATTTCGTGCTAGAATTGCTGAAAAAGATGCAATTAAATTTTAGGACAAGGACTGCTACGTTGCGCATGGAATATTCGAGTCCTTTTCTATTCACTTGCTGCACTGCTCACACTATCTCGGTATCTGCCTTTCGCCTGCTTTCGTGTGCGGTTGCAGCTGCTGTCAGTGGCAAGAACGCATTATTAATTTATTTTTCAACTTGCAAGATGAATAAGCAAAGAGCAAAAATTCTTCACAACGACGCTTTTCCCATCTACCCAAAGCAAAATTTGCTATTTAAATGTCGCTATGTGCAGTACAGATCCAAAGACTCCCCGCCAACAACCCCCCCAATCTCCCCCTCTGGCTATTGCCAAGTCATTTGAGATGCAGTTGTGCTCTGGGCAAGTTAAAAAACGTCGACGTGCTTTGACGTGGCTCGAAACGGTTCTTCAATCTGCTGTCCATCATTTGGTTTCCGATCGTGATGACGTCGCCGCTGTTGTTGCAGTGCACCACAAGGAACTAAAATCCAAAAGTGAATAATGAACCGCAAATAACTTTACTTTGTGTTGGCAAGTTTACACAGGCAGCAGTATAACCAAAAAAAACACCACCCAAACCAGCGTCAGTCATTGGCATTGCATCCGTTTCTAACCAAATCCAAATCCGGTTCGTCACTCTATCTCTATGTATGTATATATATATAGATATATATAGCTTTATCTGTCTCTCTTGCTCGCTGTTGTTTCAATTGCTGCGGGACGTTTGTCTGCGCTATCAGCCAGCAGCAACTGTTGCAACAACAGCAACAGCAGCAGCAGCAGCAACTGTTGCAACAAAAGTTGTGTCAGTTTCGGTAACAATTATTTCGCTTTGCAGTTAGTTGAGTTTGAGTCGAGTTTGGTTTGGTTTTGGTTTTGTTATTTTCCCTCTTTGTTTTTTAGTTTTTTGTTAATTTCTACCCGCTGCTCTTGGCTGTTGCTTCAAATATTTGCATTTGCGGCTGCCTCCACTCACACTTCGAGACAAATGCAAGCCAATGGTTATCATTTGGCCTGATGCTGAAGTGCAAATCGTTTTATGAACACAAAACTGATACAGTGCTGTGGTGTGTTCATCAGTTTTTAAATTCTATTCTATTTTATTTTTATTTTTTCATTTTGTTTTCATATTTGTGACACAAGGCACACGCTTGGCATTGCCTTATCTGCATTCCCTGAGGCTGGGTTTTTAGCCAGCTGTCTTGGCCACAAACTAATCAACTTGACATAGGTTACGCTATTACCTGCTAAAACTTTGCCACAAAACTTTCGATTTTGCAAAGTTTCTCCATAGCTGTCCGAGATAAGAGTTCAATGTATCTGAAATTTATTAACTGCTTCGTAAGCACATGCAAATAAATCAGCAACAAAATGATAAATAAAAGAAAAATAATGTTAAGCTCGAAACTTTTTCGAAGGCGTGTTTTTGAGCAAGGACTTTTGGGGACGATAAGCCAAGTCAAGCGTTAAAGTTACGCCCACAAAAAGCCTCAAAGAGTATATTGACATATGACTAAAATGCCAACAAATGTAAATGCAAAATGCTCTCAAACACACGAGATTCACCGTCCCAGCACAAAGAGGGGTGTTTAATGTTGTCGACGGGGTTAGTGGCAGTGAATCATTCTTATGTATTTGATTGAATAGCTATATTTCAAAATTGTAAGCTGTCTAATATGATTACAGGGTATTTTTTTGCATAGCATATGCTAAGACGTAGTCATCAACACTAATAACTAAGTCACTTGAGGTATTTTTGTGTGTGCGAGACACAAACCAATGCTAGACCTTAAATAATTTTTAATAGGGTATATTTTAGTCCAGCATATATGCATATGACAGCAATTAATAATTTTGAGTTTGTGTGACTCTTTACAAGATATCTGAAAGTCGATCATATTATTGCAATTCCAAAACACAGCTAATTTTTACTATGATCCGATTAGAGTAGAGTTTGAAATGAGGTATAGGGTATCTTTTAGTGTGTCACTGCTCGCAGAGTAGGCACTTGTTTTAGGTGCGGCTGTGTCAAGTATTTGCACTTGCGCTAAGCAAAATTTACGCGCATTTGTTTGTACGACTTCAGAGAATTGCTCGACGGCGTTTTCCCCGTTCAAGTGAAAATCGATGAGCTCTGTGTGTGTGTATGTGTGTGTGTGTGTGTGTGTGTGTGTGTGTGAAGTGTGCGTTACGCTGTTGGCATTGTTGTTTAGCCACAATGTTTTCTTTTTTCCGCTCCGCATGGCTTTTTATTGCTTTTTTTCTTTGGCTTTTTTTCTTGTTGCCGGCTGCTGTTGCTGGTTGCTGGTGTCATGAGCAAACGAGCAGCATTTGAGCAAATAAACTAGACCTGCCAACACATACACACACACACACACACGCACACATGCGAGCACAAGCACACACAAAACTCACACATACACAATCACTCGCAATAACAATGGGGCATGGGAAAATCTTAAGCTCCTGGCATCCTGTGGCTGCTGCCTGCCGTCGTTGCTGATGCCATCAAAACTCTCAACATCCTTGGCATGATGGTGCCATGCTCAGCATCAACAACTCAACGGCATCAGCTCTGGCTCTGAAACTCCTCGGGCTCGGTAGACTTCGCTCTAGGACCTCAATCTGCCGTCTGCCACTTCACAAAATGCACACAAAAATCTTCAACTTTATCTCGTCAATAACTTGAAGTGTGGCCTCTCAAGATGTACATACATCCACGTATATATGTATGTATATATAGTTTGGTTCGTTCTTCGTTGTTAGCATCAACTTTTGTGAGTTTCCTGTGGTTTCATACCCAACCCCATTTCGGTGTTCAATCGGTTATTGATAAAAATTTGCAGCTTTACATATTTAAGTCGTGTATTTTCGGCACGTGCTGCGGTTGTATTTGTGCAAAATGTTTGCAAATGATTATTTTATTGACAATTAAAAGATGAACATAAAACGCAAGCCGCAGAAATCCACCAGCCAGCCAAAAATTTGACACGCTGTAAGGAGTCAAATTTGATGGCCATGAATGTGAAGACATTAGTCGCGCTGTGGCAAAGACACCCGACTCTGGCAATGTCTATGCTGAATCCAGGTTGCTGTCAGCAATTCATGTTTATTGCCGCACTTGGCACCAGACAATGCTTTGCCTCATGTCTTACTCCAACGCACTCTCTCTCTCTATATCTTTCTCTCCCTCTCTCATACACTCCTTATCTTTTCTTCTCTCTCTGCCTCTCTCTCTCTCTCTGACAGAGAAGAAAACTCATGCGTTATTTGCAACTTGGTGAAAGCTGCTTTGCGGCTGCCTGGCAACGCCGGACCCTTGCTAAGTAGTTCTCTTGGCCCTTGGCCACTGACCACAGCTTTGATCTGCCCCACTGTTGATTCCACTTACCAACGAGACTCCGCTTCACCATCCAGCTACCCCCAGCATTTGGCTGCCTGTCACTGACAAATCCTTTCAGCCTGAATGACGAGCCACGTCCATCAAGTTCCTTTATTAGATTGATGCACACTTCAATCCTTAGTACTTCTTGTTGCTACTTCTTTGTTTGTCCTTATTGCTCCTGATCATTTAATTGGAGTTATAGCTTGTAATCTATCGATTACAATATTTATCTAAATTTATCGACTTTCCAATTGTCAACTTTCGTTGTGTTCGTCTTCGTCATCGGTTTGGGGAAAAGTTGT